TTTTGTAAGTTTAGAGCTATTTTTGTTCAATTTGGAGGTATTTCTTTTAGTTATTTATAATTTATATATTTATTTTTCTAATAGGCCTATACATAGCCTATACAAAATAATTATACACAGTGCACCCACATATATTATGTAAACACAAACTTTTATTTTGGATGTAATTAATCGTGATTAATCATTTGACAGCCCTAATATATATATATTAGGGCTGTCAAATGATTAATCGCATCCAAAATAAAAGTTTGTGTTTAAATAATATATGTGGGTGCACTGTGTATAATTATTTTATATATATAAATACACACACTATGCTTGTTAAAAAATATTTTCATGTATATACTGTATATAGATTTATATATCATTTATATTATATATAGGGCCTAAATATAAATATTTTATATTTTTGCGTGTGTGTATTTATATATATATATATACAAAATAATTATACACAGTGCACCCACAATGTAAACACAAACTTTTATTTTGGATGCGATTAATCGTGATTAATCGTTTGACAGCCCTAGCTTGCCTTTGAAGTGTTTTAATGGTAAAACACATTAGCGTCAATAAAAACACAATAAAACATTAGGGTCGCATTCAAAGACAGGAGCGCGCGGGAGCAGATGGAAACAGGAAGTGTCTTCAACTGACAAACAGCAAAACTAACGTCTCTCGCTGTTTTCATTGCTTTCAGGTAAGTTTAGTTAGCAAAATCACACAAATAATACATACAAAAGTTCCTGACAACTTTCTTACTTGTAATCCATACGCTTCTGTTGAATGACCTTATAGAAATGGTTTTGTGTCTTCGAAAAAAGTCTGTTAGCATCTAACCGTTTTCAGAAGAGGTAACGTTAAGTTAAGCTAGCTAGCTAGCTAATGTTACAATGAAGCTCTTACTTTATATAAGTTTGGGTTTTTAACCCCATCTTTGTGTAGATAACAATTTTTGATAGTTTTGTTTTGCTGGTAATTTATCAATGGGTGATTGGAAGTATACTAAGCTAATTTATTTAACCTAAAAGAATACACTGTACTTTTAATCAGTGACGTCACTTAACGTTACAAATATTTTAAATTGATTTCACGAGGAACAGAAAAAAAACTCCACAATAAAGGGGGCTTATTGTTTAATCATGATAATAATGGCATATACATTTATTTCACAATAGATATATACTTTATCTTTTTGCTCTAGCTTACTTCCTTGTTCTATTGTAAATCCTATATCATTGTTGGCACTGTGACACATTGCATGTTATGTTCTAAGATCATCACCATGGGATGGCCTGCTGCACCCCCTGTCCAAGACAATATCCACGAAATGCAAAACCTCAAACATACAGTGCACTACTGTTAAAAAGTTGTGGGACTGTTGGATTTATGCTTTTGAAAGACGTCTCATACTTAACCCCATTTTTTTTTTCAGTGAGACTGTTCTTGAGAAGCCTGTAGGCTAAATAATCTTCTAAATAATAGGTGGCAAATATCATGTTATAATGTTCATAGTTATAATAATTAATATAACTATTATGATAACAGGATATCATGGTCATTAGTATATTTTATTTTATTTCTCTAGGCGTGTTTTGAAATAAGTTGACCAATGATACAGACACCATACTGTCCAACTCAATGTATGTATTTTTTACTGATAAATAATTAAATTATTTTTACTTTTAAATGCTGAATTCAGGGGGTCGACAATTTTGGGCACGCAAGTTATTTTTCACAGATATCTGGCCAGTTTACTCGTGGCTCATACTTTTAGCCTTTAAAATGTTTGAATTTATATCTGCAATGCAATATCAGGGGGTAAAGATATCATTAGAGTTCTTAAGGTATGGCTATGCTCTTGTTACCAGATGAGATCTGATCGTTTGGCCCTGTGATTCTTCAGGACAAGATCTTGATGCCATCCGCACTCAGTACATGACAAAGGTGAGTTTCACAATAGCTGCCACTATCAAAAACCAAGAGACAAGAAAACAACAGGCCTTCATCCATATGAACTCACCCACACTTAGGGATGGGTACCGAAACCCGGTTTTAAACGTTAAAACGTTATCAGTTCTGCTGACAGTACTGAAGAAATTTCACACACTACACTGTAAAAAAAAAAAAAAATCTGGCAGCAAAGTTTCCAGACGGTTTCGGTTAAATAACAGCAAATTACCATTTTACAAAATTACATGCAAAACCCGTAAAAATACAGAATAACTTTACAGTCAAAATGTATTAAACTACAGTATATTACTGTTGATAATGACTTATTAAACCGTGGAAAAAACTGAAAAATGCATTTTAATGTCAAATTACATTAAAAAGACATTCTATCTACAGTAATTCGCTTTTAATATTTAGGTTTTCTGTGTTAATTAACAATGATCAATGAGTTGGCCAACAATTTTAATTGGCAAAGGAGAGGACAGAAGAGCCCATTTTTTACGCTTTTGCGACCTTTGCGACTTTTTCACTTTTTTTTTTAAACATATCACTTAATACATAGCTTTGAAAATGCAAAATAGAAAACAACCCCTTGCAGTTTCACATAATGTGCCATTGAAATGCAAAGCAAGTAAAAAAATATTCTTTAATGTCATACTGTCAGATGCAGCCAAAAGACAAGGAGCAAAAGTGGTGAAAGCAGAGGAAAAATAAAAACCAATCCAAAATGTTATATATATGTTCATATATATGTTTTAAGTAATTTACATTTTGATAATTACTATATTTTTTCTTTGACACAGCAAAGCAGAGGCCTCCCCCTCAAACAGATTCCAGCAGCAGTGAAAGTGAATGTAAGTGTCTTCAAATGATTGTTTTTTTCTTCCTCTGTGTAACCCATAGACTGTAAAAAAATATGGACGTAGTATCCGTGACATCACCCGTAGGTTTCTGAAGAGCGTTTTTGAAGCCTAAAGTGGGCGTCGTCTTGGCAGTGCATCACCTCTCGTCACTACAGGATCAAGAGGCGGGTCGTGGGTGGAGCTGAGGTACTAATGTTATGCTACTGCCCTCACGCTGAAGTGACAGCTGATTGAAAAAGTAAAGTCAATGGTTAAAGTTCATGTTTTTACCCTATGAAATATTATAATAGTTAAGACGTAACTAAAAGTGAGACCATTTACTATACTTTTTTATCAACTTTATTAATCCCTCAAGGGGCAATTAGTTAAGAGCATACAAGTACATAACACAGATCACACACATTTCTCACAACATACAAGCAGTAAACTATGTGTATCGTGATGCATCATTATTCTGCTAGTTAAAAATGTATTAGTAACTTACAATATTGCTCTAAGCTTGTGCATGTGACAGTATTTCAAGGCAAGCACATGTCAGTCGGCATCTCACGTCAAGTTCGTACAGAGCTTTAATTCAGTCCATTTTACAATCTGATTTTGGCCGCCTCTCAGTTTTTCAGATGGGTTAAAGTTAAACCAAAGATATTACCTCAGAAGTTCAAGTAAATGAACTAGAAATCCATGCTCATTGGGTGTGCATCTATTGCATGGATGGAGAGAACGCGCTGAAATTCTCAGAAATCCATTAGTGAGGTAAACAGCTGGAAACAGCGCTGGTCGTTCTTTCCATACTCAACACGACGGAATCCAATGGCGTGCATGGGCGAAGGTATAATACATGTATTAAATTGTATGAAATAACCCCAGAAAAAATACAAAGCTGAGGGTGACGCTAACAGACAGCAGACAAACGACTAGCAGTGACACAGCAGCGGCAATCCACCTGTCACTCAAGTAGCCACGCTCTTAATTATGCAAAAATTTAAGGCCTAAATATAATTTAAACAGATGAGTTGTAAAAAAAATTCACCCCCCTCACAGTCGTCATGAAGGGCAAAATTAGCGATATAGACCAAAAAAACTATTGGCCACCAGGCTGTAAAGATGTTTTTTTTTTCTGCTGTGAAGTTAGACATTTTAACTTGGGGGAGATACAGATTTGACTCGCTTTTGCAGTCAGCCTCAAGCGGCCACTCGATGAATTGCAGTTTAATTCACTTCCGTGTTGGCTTCAAGAGAGAGACGGGGAGGTTGCCCCTTGGTCTAGCCCCACCACTAAACAGAGTTTTTTTCCCCATCTTCACATTCTCTGTAACTCCTCGATGACAGACAAGTGGCTCCTCTTCATAACATAAGGATCATGTCAAACATTTGTTGTGTTAAACATCATCACTGCGTAAGAGAGAGAGAGAAAAAAGAAAAAGACTATTTATTCTTGCAAGATTAGGCCGTCACCTACACAGCAGTTACCCTATGAAGTGAGCAAGACCCAGACAGGAAGAAACGGGCAATCTTTATAAAGCTCTTCAAGGTCCTTTTCCTTGCAGAGCTTCCTAGTATTTTGCACAGACAAAGGCCCTTAACTGCTAGCTTTGATTTATCACTTACTGACCCTTTAAGCCCACTCAACTAGATGGCCTTCTGACCTCAGAGGTCCTTGTCCATCTGATTCTAGAGTGTCTCTCTCCTGCACTTCAGGTGTATAAATATATTTCAGAGAAGTTCCACCTCATCACATCATACAGCAAATGATAAAACCATATGATTATTACACCTTTATACCTTTCTAAACCAGCACAGCACAGACTTTCCTCCATCTCATCCATTCTGCGTTTCACTTCCTGGCCTCCATCAGTATTTCACCATAAGATTCACATGTCTGCAAACAACCTATTGGTGATTATGGAGCTCAGCTCAGCCATGTTATGTAGGTATGGCTCACATCTTTCAGTGCACGTCTATGCAATTTGGGCCATTTTTTTGTTGGCCAGAAAAAACCCAAGATAATTTAAGGAATCGTTCTATTTTTTAGAACATTGCAAGATTTACAACATCAATATTTGAAATTGTGTCAGGTTTAATCAGATCCCTAACCCACAATAAAATGATAACACCATAATAAGAAGTCACTAATAATACTTGAAATATCTCATTGCTGCACTTGGAAAGGAGACCACTTGCACATACAGTTAGAGTCATGTTTATTTACAGCAGAATCCTGATTGAGGAGAAGGTTATGAGAGCTGAAATGCTTTCAGTACAGCTCATTTGGATCCACATTTCACTACACCTTTTAATTTATTTATTCAAATTTTTATACAGAATCCATTTGGCTGTTAATGTTGTCAGACAAACAGAGCTTAGCGCCCTTCACAGGCAGGGAGGACGATGGAGAAAAAAAAAAAAAAAGATTGAAGTACAAAAATGAATAACCACAGCATTAAATGGGAAAGTTGAGAAAAATACAAACAATGTGATAAACCAAAAGAAACAAAACAAAAGCAAATCTTACAGTTAAAATTTTTTTTACATTTGCATTTATTGTCTAAATGCAATCACCATGATCGTCATTTATATTGTTCTCTTTTTTCTTGTAATGTCTATAAGGGTGGCAGAGGGACAGTGAGGAGGTTTGTGGGTAAAACAACGTCCATGATGCTCAGGTTAACTGTCTCCCAATACCAGGCAAATGTTCATATTGAATATTCAGGCAACACACTGCCAAAGTTTGCGCAGGGTCCACGCCGGCAGCGGGGGTAAGAGCGGTCCGGACTTGTTGCCCCTTCTCCGTTTTATGCATTATCTTGTGCGACTGTTTGTCCACGACCCCGTGTCTGCGTCTCAGTTTCAGAGTGTCGCACTAACGCGCTTACCCTGAAAACGCAGCTTTGAAGAACGACACGCTGTACAACTGACATGCAAGGCCAGACGACTAACAGATTAAAAAACAGGTAACAACAGGTAAAAAAAAAAAAAATCAAACCTCAAGAGACTGAGCCAGCAAAATGCATTATTTTCTACAACATTACACACACACACACACACACACACACACTCAATCAATCAATCCCACAGAACTCACTCCTCAATTCCAGTTTCATCATTACGGAGCGAATTGTGTTGAAGAAATGACTTCAAACAAAACAAAAATTAATGCTTGAAATTCTAGTGGAGAAAAAAAAAACCAAAAAAAAAACTCGGACTTAAATAACGGAGCCTAGTACAATCCTTAAAGATTCCCTCCAGGAGCGTGATAGAGTTCATCTTCAGTGGTCCATCCAAAGCCCATGGAGGTAATGGCATACATTCATACATAAACACAAGCACTCCCTTCTCATCAATGGCCGACTTGCACAAGTGGTCCATGTGCGATGTTTCATCAAAGAGGATGTGTACATCACACACAAAAAAGTGACCTAGGCTGAGCTCTCAGACTCATTTATAGGGGGAAAAGAAAGGAAACAAAAAATATTTCCCATCTGCGCGTTCCGTTTATGATCTAAAAGCCCTTGCCCTTGTTCGCACACGCACGCGATCTCACGCACACCTCGACATGATAACCCCTAATACATGTGTACACATATATACATAGAGCTGTACGCCTCCACAATTTATAATGCATCATTTCTGTATATGCCAAGAATAAAATCTTTCTAAATAAAATACATGTTTCTGCGAGGGAAGGGGTGGTTAGAGAGGGAGACGGGAAGGTGGATGCGGGTGGGGTATTATCAGAAAGGGAAAGAGGAAGAGAGAATGAAGGAAGGAAGGGGGGAAAACAACGCTGTCCTCTAATGTGTGCTGGTCCCTTACAGGGTCATCGTCATCCCAAGCTGTGGCAGAACCTATGTTCCTCATCCACAGTTCGCTTAGAGAAGTAAATATTAAAGAAATCTCAGTCTGTAAATCCATAATGGTGCCAAACGGTACAAATGGAAACACACTTGGAGCTCAAAGGGGCTCCGGTCACGTCCAGACAAAGACTGATCCGGTAAAGTGTGGCGGAGTTCAGTAGAACAGGAAAGGGATGATGGGATAGAAAGAAAAAAAAAAAGAGAGAGAGAGAGAAGAGAGAGATGGCGTGACAAACATGGAATGGAGCCGAGAAACAAAAGAGTTAAAGAGAAAAAAAAAGAGACAGAAACTGTAGTAGGATAGAGACGTGTGGAGCGCATGAATCCATCTGGCAGTGAAGTCCGCGTACGTCTGTTCATCCGCTGGCTGGAGGATGACAACAGGAATGAGGGATGACGAGAAGACGAGTGCAGTTCCTCTCTTCCGACCTCTCTCTCTCTCTCTGTGCTGGTCAGGGCAGCATCATACCTCCAGGAAGCGTGTGCTGCTGGCCTTGGTGTGGAAGGGCTCGGACCACATGCGGCGCAGGTCCCCCTGAGGAGCGACAGACAACCGAACAATTAACACAACGCTAGGGCTGTCACGATTCCTCAGTTTAATTCTAGTACTCGATTGCAGTTTACCCGTGTCGAGTAACTGGCAAAATCCTGGAAGTGACGCATTCCACAGGTGAGAATCAATGAGCCGGATTGTTAGACCGTTTTCTAAGGCTGCACGATGTATTAAAACAATTTTAAGGCTGGATTCACATATGGCGCCTAAAACGCGTAGAAAACGCTGGGCGCGCCTTGCAACATGAGGACTACCGTCCCGGTGAATTGGAAATAGGAAGTCTTGTGAGAAGCGAGAAAGAGCGAGAAACATGTACTGCTTTACAGCTATTCGAAACACACACGCCACCCTCAAGCTCAATACTAGCTAAAAACACGTGACGATGGATAATGCTTCACAAGCTCCAGTGAAAAGAAAAATGAGACGGTACTCGGCGGAGGAGGTGGGGGAGAGGAAAAAAGCTGTTGACCGAGCGAACGATAGCACAATAATAAATATTGGTCGTGCGTTTACGGAATGGCGAGAGCTAAAGTACAGCGTTTCTGAGTCAATAAAATTGTTTATACTTTGGTCGACTCCGTTATGATCTATAATTGTTCTAAACTAACATGTTAAACATTGATTGTAACCAATAATGTAGAAACCAGTCTTTAGAACGCCGTCTTTGAACCTCAGTGTTTGGTGTAGCTCTGTATATTTCTCTGGCATTGCTTTTGAAGAGTAATTGGCAGGTGAAGTGGATTTACTTATGGTAGAGCAAATGGTAGAACACAGCGAGCGCAGCACTAGTGCTATTGTGGATATACAAAGGCTGTGATTTGATTGAATAAATATACCCTGTTGGTTAAATATATACTGTTTTTTTTTACATGCGTGTTCACAGCAAATGCTATTCAACATGAACTGATATTTACATATGTAAAGTGCATCTCAAACTCCCTCTACACATATGCTGTGAGTTTGGGTTGCTTATATCTGGGAACGCAATATGTGCCACTTAATTAGATATGCAAGGAAAATCTTTTATCCAACACAGAAGAATACATCAATATCTTTCTAAATATGCAAACGGTTCATCACAATTTCAAAATAAATGTTTTGATGTATTGATGTCCACATATTCTTGTTCAAGAATTTGAATTAATGGATTTGATTTGCTATAAAGCGTTACACCAGGCCGCTGGCACCCTCTGCAGGCATTTGTTACAACACGTTATGGACATGATTGTTTGTATTATGCATTTTCTGATGAATTTTAAGTGTTGTTCTACAAAACTGATTTCTGCTTTATATACTTTATTTGAACCAAATATGATTAATGACAGCCCTACTTAATGTGATGTCATATGACAAAGACAACATTAATACAAGCTTCTCAATTAATACAAGCTTCTCTCTCTCAATGGTCAATTTGCTTTTTTTTCAAAGAATAAACAAAATAATGGTAATGATATAATAACCAGCAGTAATAAATATTTAAAAATGATTATTAGTATTAATTAACTTACTTTTACTTTAATGCAATTTAAATTTATAAGCAAAAAATGTAGTCTACAGTATATTAAGTAAATTTTTCCACATTTTTGTCAACCTATTCAAAAAAAATAAATAGGTTCATATATTATTGTTATTTTTGTAGTTATATAATAATAGCTAATTAAATTATTTATTTTGTTTAATTGGTCAATAATTATTTTAATGGACAAAAAATAAGATTTATGCAATGAAAAAAATGTACAAGTAAATGTATATTGTTCAAGTAAAAAGTACAATAAAATTCAATATAAATATAATAAAGTTCAATCAGAAGTAGTTCCTTATTAAATATATAAAATATATTGTACATAAAAAGTAGCATTTAAAAATATAATTTCTCATCTGCTATATCCAGGATGAAAAGTTATTAGATGAATAAAGTACATTAAATAAATGGACTCTGTGAATGTAACGCATGTGATAAAAACATCCTTTCACAAAAAAAACAACAGATTCCTTCATTTCTGCATTTTACCCATTAACCACCATTATCTGGAGTGCACACACACACACACACACACAGTACATTATATTCAGAGTTACAAGAAGCTTGTGCATTCAAGTATTTATGCTCCCATCAATGTTGTTCTTCTATAAACATGTCAATTAAAAATAGCACAAACCCGTGCAAATCGATTTACACAAAGAATAATTACATCGTCTTGTTGTCAACGCCCATTCACTTTCTAAAACACAAAAAAAAATGTCTTTGTCAAAAAGCACACGTGACGCTTACATTGCCTCACCTTCTCTACTGTGTTGGCACAGCAATCAATATCGCTTTTAAGAGTAAGAAAGGTTTCAATAATACGCTCAATTGTGCAGAAGCGCTGACGGAAACAGCACAAACCTGTGTGGTTCTTCTTACATCAATGATCACGTACCTTTTCAATCCATGAAGGTCACACACACAGCCCCACACACAGTCATATTAAAAACATCACTTGTACCACACACGGAAAAACATAGCTTCCTTTTTTTGAAGATGGGTTTCGAATCAAATTTGTTCTAATGCTAATTTGCTCTGCCTACTTCTGTTTTTTTGGCATACCCAACTTGTTTTAACCCTTAAAAGGTACCCCGACTAGTGAGGCATGTTGGCCTTATTAGATTAATGTGGGTTTCAGCTATAAAAAGGTGATACAAAAACTCCAAATGTTTTTGATTTTATTAAAAAAAGTCGAAAATCCATTCACTCGTAGGCCACCATAGTTATTTACGTCTCAATGCATTCTGGGTAGTGACGTTTAAAGGTTGTTGCTAGCCAAGTTGACAGTAGCGAGATGAACACGTCTGCCGTTCAGCCTTTTCAGTTTGAACCCAAGCGCACAGTAGGCTTAAATCAAGAGAATAACGCGGAAAACGATAGGCATACTCAAGAGTTACATGAAAATAAAGATTATCAGAGAGTTGAAGAAGCGAGAGTGGGGCAAAATAGATGGTCTTTGCGGCAGTTTGACAAGCGAGAACGAGAGTGTTTGCTGTAAAACGAGGGCATTTGCTGTTCACTTTTTGTCAGCAGCTGTCCAGGGTAGGCTGTATAGATCACACGATCGTACTATCAGTATAGATAATTTAATAAGTCATCTACCGCCGTTGTGTGCTTTATTTCCCTAAGCAGTCACTCATATATGTTGAATGCATAGAAATAACTGGTCGCGGATGATGCTCATAATTCAATAAAAGGTATCGACTAATTTTTTTAATTACATAACTCCTGACACAAATGAAGACATAACTGTCACTATAAGTTTCTCGGAATACAATAGTGGTCAAATACTGAAACGTGAGTCTTATATACTTTTAATGACGTATAGTTTTGTACGTTTTTTTTTTTTTTTTGGACACAAAAAAAGCATAGTATTTTAAGCACATGTACAATGGACTAAAATAATGTGCCATGAACGATATGATTTACCATGAACGGTTTGGGTTTAGCATTTAATGAACGTTTGGACTGTGTTATGAACCAAGTCCAAGCTGGTCAAGCTCCATGTAGCTACTGTAAAAGCATTTCAACTACTGTGTGCAAAAATGTTCCCACAATTGTTCGTTTCCAAGAAAAAGTGAGGCTGTTGCTATGGCGACGGCACTACACATAACTGATCAGATTATGTTGCAACACATGCAGAACAAAACATCTGCCACAATGAAAACACCCTACAATTGATGCCTCAATAGAAGGAATGATGAGTACCCGCACAGACGTACATGTGCTATCGCATAAATAATGCAGCGCAGTGCTACGGATACGGCACACACCCTGCTCAAATAACCGCACAATGACACCATGTAGACTTCTGCATGGTTTCTAAGAAAGTGAGTAAATGGCGATTCCACAAAATGAACTTGACCCCGTTTGGACTTTATTAGAAATTAGGCACTGAACTTTCAGGTGTCGGTGCAAACTGACGTACCTTCAAGTAGGCCATGGTGAGCAGAGGCAGCAGGGTGAAGGGCACCAGGTACAGGAGGGCAGGCTGGGCCGCGCGGTGAATGCGAGAAGCCACCGTCGCCGTCAACAGACCTGAGAGTGGAAGAGAGAGAACCATCATACGCGTGTTGAATCCACAGTGACACAGTCGAAACAATTACATGCAGCGCAACCAGTGTAGTCTGTTTGTGGAAAGAATAAGCCAGCTTTACAGTGAATCAGAAACGAACAGCACAACCAGAGTAGTCCAACTGACTCCCAAACAAATTAATCTTAAGAGTTAATCAGAATCATACAACACAAACAGCATAGGTTGACCAATTGACAATCAAATGACTCTAATAATGAGTCGCACAGACTACTTAGGCGTAAAAAAAAAAATTGTTTGTTTCCGGTTTCCGACCGACCCTGTCAATTTATGTGCGACCCAAAATTATTTTATGAGCTTGGGGAAGAAATAATAAAAATTAAATAAATACACAAATAAAAAACTCTGAGGCGAACTATTAATTTACGTTTTTGTACAGCTCCGTCTTTTTATAGCACGCGATGTAAGATGCATCTTGTCCTCCAGCAATCTATTAACAAACGAGGCAGATATCGTTCGTCAAACTGAACTATAATACATATTATACAAGTCTTTTTTTGTAATTTAGGATATTTTTATTCATATTCGCACACATACAAATACATGCATTCATAGGCATGCACACACCACATACTAATACCTCCATCCGCCTAGTTTTATTAAAAAATCATCCTATTATGATCCAATCATGATCCCAATCCCATCTTCTGCTGTCTAGCACTTCTTTCGCCATGTATTTGTTAGTTTCTTTCATTATTTTATGCAATCCAAAACACTCTAACCTGCCGCGGTTCGTATCTCTAGAGCCCGTCTAACTTGACCGCTTTTCCGGGACAAATGTATTTTTGAAGGACAAGTAAAAGAGAATTTTACTCGCCCCAACGGACAAGTAGCCTGATTAGAACATCAATAACAAACAAAAAAATAACTAGGGAATCACTAAACCGAGAGAATGATTCTGATTTTATTACATTTATTGCAAGTTGCGATCGATTGTGGATAATAAATGTAGCAGAAATCTACACACATGAGCGGAGCACACACACACAGTTAACAACATACTCTGCCTATAAAAAATCTAAATGTGGAGTTTTTATATTTTAACATATGTTAAGCACTAAGCAGCCTCAATTATTTTTCCTGAACACCATCACGATTGAAAAAGTGACATTGATTTCCTACAACAGTTCAATAAACAGTTAAGATTAAGTCACTTACTGTTTATAAGCAATATTGGGTGTTTTTGTTCCATTTCAGCAGCGAAAATAGTTCCAAAGAAAAGTCACAGCAGAACCACGACGCATCTCACAGGAACTCATCCTGTTTTCATTACTGAATGATTCAGCATTTTGAACGAATCGGTTGAGTCAAGGATTCAATGACCCATTCATAAACATCAACATCTGTCTCATTCTTGAATGAATCAACGGTTTGAACGAATCGTTTGAATTAATGAATCAATAACTCACTCATTTATACGGCCGCCTGCCGCCACCTATTGGCAGTTTAGTGTTATGTTTATAAGTAGCCTAGTATAATTCTTTCCAATATTTCTTATTTGCACATTTAAATCAATTTCATAACATTATTTTATGAAATTGTAATTTTTCAGTGTAAATGATTTAATTTCATCAGCCCTACCTAGGGTAACAGTATGCTTCATCTTTCATTTTAAATTCCTAAATTTGATCAATAAATTCAATTATTTAGAATAATAAGACACTATAGGGCATTTAATAATATTGGTGGAGGGGATGCCCTTAAAGGTGCAGATATTACAATTTGCCTTTTTAAATATCAAAGCTGATTGAACACTGATGACAATATTGCTTCAGAATAAAAAATAAATAAATTTTAAAAATCCGGACAAGCAACTTTTTTACTCGGACAAGTGATTGACAGATTTACTTACTTGTCCGGAGGACAAGCATGTGAAAAGGCTTAAGGGGATAGTTCACTTTGAAATTAATTTTTGATATGTTTTAGCTTAACTCAAGGGCATCCAAGATGTAGGTGTCTTTGTTTCCACAGTAGTTTCAATTTTGATATTTTTAGGTTTGACTATCACTTTAATGTCGATCCCTGAATAATTTCCTACCCATCCCTTGCTGCCACTGAAAAAAAAAAAAAAAAAAAAAAAAAAAAAAAAAAAAATCCCTACCGACCCATGACCTCAACTGACAACCAACCGGAACCAAACTTTTTTTTTTTTTAGGCCTTATCAGCACACAGACAGAGATAAACAGATGATACTCATAAGACAGACAGAACGACAGATTGACTGATGGACAGACTTTTGTTGATAAATGATCTGTTATTAATCACAATCTAAATAGGAGGGTGTGTTTGGATGATAGCGTTGTGACACCCACCAACAAAGTAACCAATGAGGGTGCAGTGGAAGTAGGAGACCCGTTGCATGCGGCCGGACACGTTGGCAGTCCCGGGCACTTCTCCAGAAGCCTGCTTCTTATAGTTGTCGTATCGAAGCACGAAACAGAGCAGCAGACCCGGCATTACGATATCACCGATGCCTAGCATGGAGAAGTGGCTCCCGGTGGAGCTTGGGAACACCAGCTTCCCGGGCAGGGAGAGGCGCGGGACATCCCGTCCCATGCCAGGGCCCAGATGCAGTTTGCGCGAGAGCACGTCGAGGGGGTTGTCTGCAGGTTGCGTGGCCACCTTCACCATCACATTGCTGTTGAAGATATAGGCGGAAAAAAAGACCTAGAGGAGAGAGAGGGAGATGAGTCAGAGGGACAGGCCAGCTTGCCCTGCTGTTTGAAGACGCTGAGAGAGAGGGATGGCAGGCTTGTGTAAGCGTGTTTGGAGGGATTTTCCATACTGACAAAAAGGTTTGACGGTCAGCACCGGGGTGGGATGGGGAACACGTTTCAGGGCATTTTGATGAACTAATGGGGGGTGGTGTGATCTAGTCTAGTGGTTTCAATTCTGGAAATTGGCAGCCAAAGGATTTCAGCTTTGCACCCAAATGGCACTTAACCCCAGGTGCATTTGACTTTGTAATAAAGCATCTGTTAAATGGCAACTCACAAGCAAATAAGTAATCCGTTACAGGATTTCTTGAATGTTTTGTAACAATCGCGTAAGCTGTAATTAACACTAGCAGGGTGGAGTGGCAAGTTCACACCATGTGATGATAGACGTGCCAGTCTTATGGATATGATTACTTTAAAGTTTTTGCATGTAAGAGTGACAAGGAAGAACTTTACTAAAAGCACATCATTTTTACAGCTGCCAATCACCACCACTTGTCACTAATATAAAAAGCAATAGAGAATATGATGAAGTCAAAGTCAATACTATTTATTTTATAATAATTTCAGTATTTTTTTGTTTTAAAATTAAGTTCAACAATACAGAGATTTTGCACTAATGCTAGGCTTATGAATAATTATATTGCTTGGTTTGAATTCAAGTTCCTAATAAATAAATAAATAAACAAACAGTAACTAGTGAACTATTTCATTTACTGGATTTTCTAAAAATTAAATAAAAGTCAATCTTAAAAAAAAAAAAACCCAACAACATATTTTACCATACATTTTGTTTGTTTGTTTAAAAGAAGAGACTCTTCAAACAAATATTCTGGGGCCTATGAAATATTTGTGAAAATGATCAAAAATGCTGGTGAAAGCAACTTTAAAAAAAACATTAAGCAAAAGCCTTTAGATCAATAAGTTTATATAAAATTGTAACACTCCACCCTACCGATTTGGCTGAACGTTACAAACTTAACATGCTTAATTGCACATACTGTGACAGTAAGTTACTTATGGCACAATTTAAAGACTTGCGCCCATCCCTCGGAACCAGTATGACTTGCTGCATTAATTGCTTACCCAGAATACATCATAGATGAGGAGGCCTGACAGCAGCAGGCATGACACCTTGAGACTAGGCAGCCGCACGAATGCGATCATGGCCACACATAGACCCATGGCAAGTGCTGCAGGAAACAACAACACAATATTGAGAGCAAAATAACACCACTCCATACAGAAAAAGTGGTAAAAGGTAAACCAAAGGACACGTTTACATTATCTTCCCACACACACACACAGACAGACAGAGCAACAGCATGCTGACGCACCGTCCATGAGCAGCCAGTGGCCTGTCAGCACCCAGATGAGAACCAGCAAGACAGAGAGAGAAAAAGACAGCAGCTCCGCCAATGTGAATCGGCCACAGCAGCCGAACGAGATCCTGCAGAGAAAAGAGACATGCTGAATACACTACCGACCACACATCACCTGGCTGGGACATGAGGCTCTCTTTCACACCCCAGCATCTGATTTCGAACACTGTTGTCCATTAATACACAAGAGGATTGTTCCACTACCCAAAGAAAAAAAAAGAGAAGATTCTAGATTACATTGTGAGATTGAGTGAAGCTGCACGACGAATTCCTAGGATCAAACACGAGCATTATCGGTTTCAAAAAGCCTATTTTGTATGATTTGAAAAATATTTTTTAAATAAAACTACGCAAAGCTTCTAAGTTGCAAGTCACACGTAGGCTCTGAACTCGGGTAACTGCATTTAAAGGCAAACCACTCTGATGAGAGAGTAAACATTTCTTACTTGTTCTGTGGGGAGCAAGGTCTGGTCAGATACTGGCACATCGGCAGCAGGAGGAATGCAAAAGCAATGGTGGCTAAAACTGTTGAGGAAAAACAAACAGAAACAATTACGTAAATATTACTCAAGCATGCTCCAGCGCAGCATGTAAACTAGGTCAGTGTGTTAGAAAGGAGCGGTGGAAGGTCACCGGTGTGTTTGCATGTGGCAACATACCTGCAGTGCATATGGTGAACACCACTTGAACAGAGTCGAAGAAGAAAAACATGACAAGCAGAGACACTGAGGCTCCGATGGGCAGGAACAGTGCCTGTGTGGAGTCTATGGTCTGAATACCTGTGCAAACACACATTCATATGAGGATTCAGGTTCTGTTCAGAAAAGCATTTTAACATACTACTGCAACTGCATGCTATACTGTATCCCACAATACACTCCAACTTCCACTTCTAGTGTGATTAATAAAGCAGAAGTAATTATAGCCGTTTTTAATCCCTTTTGTGATAGACTAGTCAAAAGTGTATTTTAACATGGAACGTGCGGAAAAGTGCAGACTAAGGATGGTCAGGTCAAAGATAGGGATGCTCATTCTGGTCAATTTTACTGACAGACAACCGCCGCTCATTTTCCAAGTATTAACCGCTAACTGATGAGTTAATATATATAAATATATATATATATAAATATATATACTGTATATTACATGCAAACAGCAGCATACAGAACAGACCAACAACAGATCATGGATTCACATCAAATTTTCACACAGTTACAGCATCTCTGACAGTTACAACAAAGAAAAACAGAACAAAATAGTATAAATAAAAACATCAAATAGGCCTACAATTTTTTTTTTAACTTAAATTAAGATGACAAAAAGAAAATATTGAATCCGTTTAAAGCTTTGAAAAAAACTGCAATTTTTTTCCGTCAAACTATGCTTTTTCATCAAGTAAAAATAGCAGGTCTACCTCAATCCACAATGCGTCTAATTTTAATTTTTTAATTTTTTTTTTTTAAAAAGTAACATGTCTACTGGTACATGATGTGGGGTTAGTCTGGAGTGCAGCCTGTTGTCAGCTAGACCCGCGGCAGAAAACACCCTCTCTGATGGCACAGATGTCCCGGGAATACAGAGATAACGTCTCGCTAGAGTGGCCAGCTTCGGGAAGCGCCTTTCAATTGCTTGTGGATGTTTGCTTCGCAAGTGATATTGCATTGTACTTGCACTACTGCTGTATTTTAATACTGCATAGCATAAGTAACTTTGTCGCCCTTTCTGTCGAAATGGTCCCAACACAGTAACCTACTTCTTGTCGCTCACATCATTTTGCTTGCTCAGCAAAATATGTCAATAGGCATGTGTGGTTGTGTATGTCGACACAACCTGTGAGTTAACAAACATAGGCTATATAGTATTATTTTTTAACCATGCAGCAAACAAAAAAGAAAATTCAACTGAATTGGAAGAGGTTACCATTAGTGCTAGCGGACTTGTAAAGTTGCTACTACTAACGTGTTTCAAGGCATATTTGAGGTTGATGAATGATAGGGGAATGTTTTGTCTTCCTGACATTAACAATATATCAGTCACAGCCTGTGTGATTTCGCCACTTTCTGCGGAGTTTATTTTTTCTACAATTAACTGATAAAATGTTGGTCGAAACAAGCCTCTATTTGATTAACGGTAATTCAACTAATGGGGGCAGCCCTATTAGAAACCAGTCACCAGAACAGTATAACAAATTACAGAGACGACTTGATATTTATACTCAACTGTAAGATATAAATGTACATCATAAAAGTATCTTTCTGTCCAGAGAAACCAGTGATCTCCTGGCAGTGAATAAAACTTCTTCCTTATTGAATAAAACGTAACGTTGTGTTTTGTAAATGCTTTTTTTTTCACTCGTTTTGCTTTTGAATTAATATTAAGACATTATGAATGATGACAATTAAAGTAAGTAAGCTCAGTGCTTTATTGTCAGCCCCGCATTGCTACTAAATACTTTCTGTAACAGTGGCTGATGCTGCTGACCTCAAACGTTAGTCTGGAGCCCTTGTGAACCTAAAATAAAACTGCATATTGTCATTTTTGTACGTTAAGTGTATTTATTATCAAATCATTTGTCAGTATTACAGATATGAACAATTGCAATGCATGCTGATTTAAGGTGTGCCCCAACATTTTCCTAAAATTTTCAGTTAGGAGCTAAAGCGCTCCTAGTAAAAACAGTTAGCCTGGAGCCCTGGAGAAAGTAGAGATGCTAAAGACCTGTGTGCTCATGAGGTAGTGATAGCAGCTTCTTATACTTCAGGAAAATATTGTATTCTAAGTATTCGGGAAGGGAATTACCTTGAGATCCTGTTGTATATGATTTTATTTTATTAACAACTGCAAGCTGCTTGAATTATCTGAGGTGAAGGAGGCAGATTACTATGCTGTATTCGTATTGAGAATTTCCACAGCACTTTCTTGGCTCATGACTAGTAACTAGTTCAGGACTCACTGTTGTTAGTGTTGGCATTGTTGAAGGAGCCAGGGTTGGTGGGGTTTCCATCCTTGTCCTTCTCCTGGTTCTCACAGTCCATGTTTAATGACCTGTGTGGACAGACACAGTTTATCCACAATCCACAACTTTTCCGGCACCTGAGTGAACCCGGACAAAACCAGGGTGCCGGAGCTTTATGGCATATGATAAACATTTTGGACAAGTCACAGACAGCATATTTAACTTGAAGAGAAATTAAAGTGTAAATTGCAGGTCACCCACCAAAACCAATAAATGTGTAAATTAAAGTGCTCAATATGTATATATTTAAAAAAGTTTGACTTAAAATGAATTCTGTATGCTTGCAAATCCTCAAATTATAACAAACAAAGTGTAGATATTATGAAACATTCATTGATAATTACAGAGATGTGTGCGAACGCGATGACCTGATGTCAGCTTTTTAGGAATTATTATGGGAGTGCACTTTGCACGCAGTCATGCATGACTGTAAGTTAGCCTGCTTGTTTTTATGTTATAACAGTGGTTTGTGTGTTAATGCTTTAATAACAAATAATTTATCAGGAGCATTTATGCTGCTGATGTGTATGGTGGCGACATGTAGGCTAACTTGAATGTATTTGGAGGTACAGAAAAGTCTTTTTGCAGGCGGGAGTGGTGGGACAAAACATAAATGTTGCGGGCGTCCTCAAAAGAATGTTTTTTTTTAGAATTTAATTTTAAAAAAAGTCATTCTCGCTATTTCAACATAAACTAATGCGTCAGCCAGCTAAATAACTTGAGACGTTTTAAAATCAACTTTAATTCAACAATGCTCAAATCGTCAGAAACCCAAATGACTACGTTTGTACATGCAAAACATGCATATGATCAACAAATATAATATTTTGCGTCAACGCAGCACTGGTTCAGTCCTGAGTTCTGCAACAGAAGAGGTGAGAGCTCACCTGAAGCTGCCATACACGATGAGGAGGATGGAGATGAGGAAGGTTGACACCTGGCTTGAATCCACAAGGGAGTACGCCCTGAGGAGAGGAGAAAGGAAGTTACTTTTTTTCCCACAATAGCAACAAAAGGATGGGTACCAGATACATCATACACAAAGACAGCTACCTTGTACAACCCTTCCTGGTTCAAACCCTGACCTTGAATGTGCGCACTATTCACAGCATCAGCTATTGACCCAAGTGTGTGGGTGAAATGTGAATCAAAGCTCAGACTGGTCGAGTTGTTACAGAGCTGTGCATGAGAAAGATCTCGTGTTACGGCATTCCCATCCTCCCAGAGCTCTGCCGAGCGTCTTGATACCTGCGCTTACCTTTTGTAAATAACAAGCTATTAGAGAAAGAGGTCAGGCTTTACACTGTGTGCCAAGCAGACTCTTAAAATATGATTACAGCGAGCAAGTGACAGTTTGCTGGATAAATAATGTGCGGCAAAACCAGCAGACTTGATTGTGTGCGTTAATGTTGTATGTATGAATAAGGAAAACAAGAGCGAGAAAAAGTAGGACGGGGCGCTGACCTTTTCCTCAAATGAAACTCTTTACTATGGACAATAAATGGTTTGAAGAAAAACACATTAGTAGTCACACACAGGCCTAACCTCGACTCTATACGTAATGATCCGGAAACACAGAATAGACGTACATCCAGACTGTAGAAAAGACAAAAAGCGAGGTGAAGGGGGCGAGGGGTGTTTGAGGATGTGGGTGTGACGGGTTGACACTTTGCCTTGGTTCAAAAGGCAGGCGTGAAGAATGTGTGCAGGCTCTGTGAGGGCCGTCAGGCCCCCAAAACAGTTCAACTGAGCTCTGACTTCCATAATGTTTCAGAATCACAAGTGCCCACTGGGAAAGAAAACCACATATGTAAGGCTTAAACATGGTTATTTAGCCATTCAAACTGACTTTATTATCTTAGATTCCTGAGGTTTAATAAACTATTTCAATAATTAGTGGTTCTACCTAAGGCAAGCATGGACATGTATGGAAGAAAACACCAGAACATTATACAGACTTAAAGGTGGGCCCTTTTGATTTAGGCTAGTAAGCCACCACCTACCAACCACCCAGAAACACCCTAGCAACTCTACTTAGCACTACTCACATTTTCTTAGGCAACAGTTTTATTGCATATTACTCCTGTGTGTGTGGTGTGATACTCTTGAGAAGAGATACGAACAGACAAGCTAAAGTCTATGGAAGTGTATTGTTGTCAAAGTTCAAACATGAGTGTATCCTTCTGGTTATTTCCGTTTTCTCCTTTTGTAGAGTACATGTACTTCTATTAATGATTTTAAGATTTGTATTGTGTTTTGTGCACAAAATAGTAGGGGAGATGAAATTAATTGTTGCATCGCAGTAACAGACCAAAATCAATTATAGCCCACTGAAGTTTCTCTGATGACCTGAAAAGTTAATTGAAAGTCATAATACTTCTATAAAAGACATACTTTTAAGAAAAACTTTGTGAAAGACTGGTCCAGTAGCATGTCTGGGAGAAGTGCCTGAAAAACACTGGTTTATTTATTCTTATTTAGGCAATCATTTATTTATTCATTTAAATGAATGAACATTTAAAGTGTGATCTCATAGGTCAGAGAGTGGCTGAAAGGAGGTGTGTGCAGAATGCAGATGTACGTCCTGGTAGATTACGCATGCAGAGATTTACATGAATGGTCTGAATCCTCCCAGGCTTCATTCTTGCACTAGTGTCATACAAAGGCGCACAAAAAAAGTAATATGTGCAACTTCTCCTGTCAGTGACACACTTTCAGTATTCCAGACAGACATTTCAATTGAGATTTCAGGACACTGTCAATGCCGCACTGTTCACTTAATCTAACAGCTGATTGTTGCAATAGACAGTCCCTGTAAATATAAAATAAAAATATATATTTATTTATATAATATTTGAGTTTTGAAGTGCTCGAAAAAGATGTCTGAAGCACTTGAAAGAATTTCACCATTCCAGCCAAACTGGTTACAGTTAGTGTTGCTATATTAAATCCATGGTGAATGTTGCTGGTCTGTTGACGTAAATTATTACTAGTAGGGCTGAAACGATTCCTCGAGTTCCTCGATTACAAAAATTCCTTGAGCCAAAAAATCTGCCTCGAAGCCTCTTTAAATTCCTATGACGCGCACTATATGCGCACGCAGGGATCTGATTGTTTCACACAAGCCGTTGTTCAAGAAGCACACCATAGCGCATGATACATTTGACTTCATGTGACCTCATAAACGGCAGAGAATGTCTAAAGTTTGGGATCATTATATATTTATAAATGAAGATGCAATGCGTCTACTGCAAAGTATACCTGGCAGGGCTGCCAACTCTCGCTCATTCAGTGTGAGACTCACGCAATTGAGCCAATTCTCACGTCATACCCCCGATTTCTCACGCTGAAATGTCAAACCCCTCGGTCAAATTCCTGAAAGATGAGTTTGTTTATAGATCTACCAGTTGAGCCACTCGTGATCGACTAGTTATGCCACCGCAAATTAATTCGCAAGTTAAAATATCCTGTAATCTAGTGTGCGCGTGCATGCGAGATGTTGAGCTCTACACTACAGGATTTTAAGCCAGATTCAAGCACGATTTGCAGTTGAGCTCGCCGACAGGTCAGGGTGTTATCGTGTGCAAATCGCGGGGGATTAGCGGGCGATGAACGCTCGCCAATCTGTTAGTATGAAAGAGACAACAACGCAGCGAAGACGCTCGCAGACACTTCGCCGAGCCCAGAAAAATATCTAGCATCCAGAGCCGTCGTGCGACTCAACCTCAGTGATGTTGAGGTTGAGCTACAGCCAATCATAGCAAGGCTGGAGTTGAGGTCACCGGGTTAATCTTATTTTTTCTTTTTTTGCATTTTCTTCTCAGAGCAAATCATCGCGCAAACAGCTTGAAGCACTAGTTTCTGTCTGACGTCCATATTCGCGTGTTGTGTTCTTCTCTTCTTCGCTGGGTATTGGCGCAAGTGCTCTTTCGCATCATTTCTGGTTCGTTTTATTGCCTGTTTTCTCGTGACAAAACGTGGTTTGTAGTAGAGCCAGACCGATATATCAGCCGATATTAGGCATTTTCCATAATATCGGTATCGGCAGTTATAATGGCCAATAAATTAATATTTAAAAAATAAAATAAAAACGGACGAAACAGGCTTTAATCATCTCTCCTTGGCCTGTTATATTGAAAATGTATGTTTTACAATTTGCAGTATGATGTTATCTATTGCTAAATTATGGCTCATCATAGACTAGCTAACCACAAAGCAAGCTAATGCCACTATCATCAGTGGAAGACCGCTAACGTTAACATTAATGAGCTTGGAAACCACAATGAACTTTTTCTGCCCAAATAAAGTAATTATTACTGTATTTATAACTAGCATATCTCTAGTTACAGTCCCTGCATTGTAAAATGTAAGTTATACTTGCGAGGAGTGAACATTTAGACAGAGAAAAAGTATCAAACGTATCTTGTGCAGAAAAGTTAGCTTTTCTTTTACACGTGTGTGAAATCCAACAATATTTCATAATGAAAAAAAAAAATATCGGCCGATATATCAGAACATTGGATTTTAAAACCCAAAAATATTTGTATCGGTATCGGCCTTCAAAATCCTTTATCGGTTGGCCTCTAGTTTGTAGACAAGATAGAATCATTGGGTGAGAGTTGTTGTCAACTCGTTATTTATTTGATTATTTTCAGGATTTAGACCGTACCATAGTACTGAAACAGCTCTCATTAGTCATAAATGATTTGCTCTTATCATTCGACCGTGGTTGTATCTCTATGTAGTGCGTTGTCAACTCGTGTAATGCGTTACCTCCTGTTGTGGATCATTCACGTTGTGTTGTGTACAGCTAAACAACTTGAACACTTCTGATTTCACAGAGAGCAAGTCATGTAGTATGAACCGCACAGTTCAGCCCGACGTTTTAAAATCATGTAGTGTGAACAAGCCTTTAAGGTAGTTCGTACGTCCAGATGCTAACCGCTAATTACAAATTCCAAGTATACAGGAGTAACTCTCTCTGTAAACAGGTTATTCCGAATGTTTCAGAAACCCGAATAGTGACCTTAACCCGAATATTGACAACTTGTAAACGTAGTCACTAACACCGACAGACAAGACTGACAGAATCTGAGAGCTGATGATTTGTTTTATATCAAAAGTAACCAGCTCTATTTTACTACGAAATGTAAACAATAGCGTTTTTGGCGCTTGTGAATGTGACGTGAAAGATCATGGTCGTGAACCAAACATCTTTTACTCTTTACTACTTAATAGTAAATAAACACGAATGAACAATAGGTGTGTTACAAGATACAATGAAGTTTTGCAACTTAGTATTTTGCTAAATATGTGTACTATATTAAATATTTATTATATTTCTTACTTGTATCATTAAAATAACGTTGTTACATTGTTATCATAGCCTAGTAAAAACCAAACTAACTTAACTCTGTTAAAATTCTGTTTAGTTATTAAATGGTTATAAAGTCGACAATCACACAATACACATCCTGCTCAAATGCCCCTGCTTGTGGACAGAACGTTCAAAATATCTTATTTTCATGAGGATACAAATGTTCTTTTTTTATTGTTCTATTTATTATGCTATTGTCCTATTGAGACAATAACAAGTTTGCAGTAATGCAAAAATGTCATTATTTAATTTAGTAAAAAATATTATTTTAATTTGAAAACAGTTGAGAAAGAGAAAGAGTTGAGAAATACACATTTCAGCATTATCATTAATCTATGTACGTGCATTTTCCTTGAGAAATAAGCAAGTTGACTCACGAAACCTTCTGTTTATTATGTTGCAATCGCATTATTGACCTCAATAATCACAATATGACATCGTGTAGCCCTATTTAAGTTCCATTTCTTTTAAAAGCTATTTGCTGCATATTCCACATTACGGTCCAACTCATTCTTCTCCGAGTCAGATTGCTCACTTAGCACACGTAGGTCTGAATGAATTAAGAGCCTATTGCCAGTAGATTGGCAG